TAAGTCCATCACAGGGGCTTCCACTTTCTTTCAAAGCATCAGGTATTGGGTATTACTGGAGATGGGATGTCGGAGTAATGGTGTGGCAAATCATTGTTATTATTAAACTTTTTAATGTATAGAGTAAAATTATATTTCTATTAGATATCTAATCCAGAAGCCTTAAAATTCCACCTCTTCTTATAGGACCTCATTGTTATTCAATGGATTTCACCCTGCTGGGCAGGAAATTCCCGATAGGGTAGGTGGAATTTTAAGACTTCAGAGCAGTATGTGTATCTTTTTTGAAAAACACAAGCACAAATTGATTTTGAAAACAAATAGGAGATACTGTTGCATTGATGCCAGGAGAAAACAGTTTCACTGGTGTGAAAACAGTGTAAACTGGTAACATTGCTTGAGCCACGTCTCAAGGGTAGGACTGAAACCTTTCAACTGATAGTTACACACAGATCGCTGGGAGGACGTATTTCTTAACCAAGTGCTGGGGGAGTACACTGTTGATCATCTTCATGAGCTCAGCTCCTGCCTTCAGACACAGCTAATTATAAAACAGGGATATTAGGGAGTGTAAAAGCAACTAGTGAAACAGCAGCAAAAAGCATTGGGTTGCATGTGCCATGGCTGAATGGAGCTGAGGACATGGATAGAACATGGACTAATTTTATCTCTGCATAACCAGGCAGCACTAGCCAGGCCTGCTTGTGTGTAGCCGTATCAACACAAGTATTTCTATGGTAAAAACTTTACACTGAACTGTAACCGGGAAAGAGAAGCTAGTAGTGGCCAAGCCTCTGGCCTGCTGTTCTCTACCATCTAGCCTCTGAGCCAGGCTGAAGTACCATGCTTAGCGTAGGCAGGACTGAGGACTTGACTTAGAAATGGACAGAAAAACCTTGCTATTGCTAACCTAAGATTCAAAGCTTCAGGAAAACACATGAGAAGGAGTGCTTCACTCAGCAACGTGCCTTGGGCCCTGCAGCCCCATATTTGCAGCTGTTAGATGGCAGGTCTTGAGGGCAGTGAACACCACTCCTTTTTAAAGGAGTACTAGAGTCCCCAGGGATCTCTGAATTATATAATATTAGGGCTGTTGCTTAATGGCAGTTAACTCACACAATTAACTCAAAAAAATTAATCACAATTTAAAAAATTTAGCGCGATTAATCGCAATTTTAATCTCACTGTTAAGCAATAGAATACCAATTGAAATTTATTTTCAAATATCTTTATTTCAATTACAACACAGAATACAAAGTGTATAGTGCTCACTTTATCATTTTACAGTGCAAATATTTGTAATAAAAATAATAATGTAAACAAAATAAATAGTATTTTTCAATTCACCTCAGACAAGTACTGTAGTGAAATCTCTTTATCGTGAAAATGCAACTTACAAGCGTAGATTTTTTGTGCGACATAACTGCACTCAAAAACAAAACAATGTAAAACTTTAGCACCTACAAGTCCACTCAGTCCTACTGCTTGTTCAGCCAATCGCTAAGACAAACAAGTTTGTTTACAGTTATGGGAGATAATGTGCTTGCTTCTCATTTACAATGTCACCAGAAAGTGAGAACAGGTATTCGCAAGGCACTTTTGTAGCTGGCATTGCAAGGTAATTATGTGCCAGATATGCTAAACATTCATATGCCCCTTCATGCTTCGACCACCATTCCAGAGGACATATTCCATGCTGATGACTCTCGTTAAAAAACAATGTGTTAATTAAATTTTTGACTGAACTCCTTGGGGGAGAATGGTATGTCTCCTGCTGTTTTACCTGCATTCTGCCATACATTTCATGTTATAGCTGTCTCGGATGATGACACAGCACATGTTTTTCATTTTAAGAACACTTTCACTGCAGATTTGACAAAACACAAAAAAGGTACCAATGTGAGATTTCTAAAGATAGCTACAGCACTGGACCCAAGGTTTAAGAATCTGAAGTGCCTTCCAAAATCTCAGAGGGATGAGGTGTGGAGCATGCTTTCAGAAGTCTTAAAAGAGCAACACTCCGATGCAGACACTACAGAACACGAACCACCAAAAAATAAAATCAACCTTCTGCTGGTGGCATCTGACTCAGATGAGAGAAAGTGAACATGTGTCGGTCCGCACTACTTTGGATCGTTATCGAGCAGAACCCATCATCAGTAGGGCCCTATCAAATGCACGGCCATGAAAAATGCGTCATGGACCGTGAAATCTGGTCTCCCCCTATGAAATCTGGTCTTTTAGGTGCTTTTACCCTATATTATACAGATTTCATGGGGGAGACCAGTGTTTCTCAAATTGGGGGTCCTGCCCAAGAGGGAGTTGCAGGGTGGTCACAAGGTTATTTTAGGGGGGGTCGCGGTATTGCCACCCTTACTTCTGCGCTGCCTTCAGAGCTTGGTGGCCGGAGAGTGGCGACTGTTGGCCGGATGTCCAGCTCTGAAGGCAGCGCCCCGCCAGCAGCAGCACAGAAATAAGGGTGGCAATACCATACCATGTCACCCCTCCTTCTGTGCTGCTGCCTTCAGAGCTGGGTGGCCGGAGAGTGGCAGCTGCTGACTGAGGGCCCAGCTCTGCAGGCAGCAGCGCAGAAATAAGGTTGGCAATACCATACCATGCTCCCAACCAGCAGCCGCCACTCTCCAGCTCCCCAGCTCTGGAGGCAGCGCCGCTGCCAGCAGCAGCGCAGAAGTAAGGGTAACAGTACCACAACCCCCCCCCCATAATAATCTTTCAACCTCCCCACAGCTCCTTTTGTGACAGGACCCCTATAATTACAACACCATGAGATTTCAGATTTAAATAGCTGAAATAATGAAATTTACTATTTTTAAAAGCCTATGACCATGAAATTGATCAAAATGGACCGTGAATTTGGTAGGGCCCTAATCATCAGCATGGACGTATGTCCTCTGGAATGGTGGTTGAAGCATAAAGGGACATATGAATCTTTAGCGGATCTTGCACGTAAATATCTTGCAACCCTGGCTACAACAGTGCCATGTGAAAGCCTGTTCTCACTTTCAGGTGACATTGTAAACAAGAAGTAGGCAGCATTATCTCCTGCAAATGTAAACAGATTTGTTTGTGTGAGTGATTGGCTGAACAAGAAGTAGGACTGAGTGGACTTGCAGGCTCTAAAATTTTACATTGTTTTATTTTTGAATAACCGACAGCAGGTTTTTTTTGTACATAATTCTACATTTGTAAGTTCAACTTCCATGATAAAGAGATTGCACTACGGTACTTGTATGTGGTGAATTGAAAAATACTATTTCTTTTGTTTTTTACAGCGCAAATATTTGTAATAAAAAATAAATATAAAGTGAGCACTGTACACTTTGTATTCTGTGTTGTAATTGAAATCAATATATTAGAAAATGTAGAAAACATCCAAAATATTTAAATAAATGGTATTCTATTATTTTTTAACAGTGCGATTAATTGTGATTAATTTTTTTAATCGCTTGACAGCCCTATTTAATATATGTCCATCCTGCCCCAGAATAGGTCTGCTCCTTCAGTGCTCCTGAGACTGCACAAGGCAGGATTTGGCTCTAAGGATTTAGCAGTGCCAATAGCTTTGATTCTCTCTGCAAAATTCTTTTGCCTCCTTCTGTTGTTAAAACTTGCTCTGAGGCAAATCCAGCAGTCGGTGACGTTTTCAGAGGAGAACATTGCAGACACTCAAGCAGAACAGCGAACGAGTCAGAAATCTGACAGTATTCAGGATTGTGGTGTTGTTAAAGAAAAACCGTGCAATATACTTAAAAAAAGAAGAAGTAAACAACCATTTGGGTGGCACTGGGGAAAACAAGTCATAAAATTTATACTCAGGACTAAAAGAAAATGCAGTTGACAGACAAACAATATGCACTGTGCAGCAATGGATAATGCAGCAGTTAAATGGCGTGTAGACAAAAACAGCTGTGCTGCATTATGCAAAAGTTATTCATGTTGACAAGCCATCCAATGTTTACACAAAGGGAAAAGGAACAAAGTAGGAACAATTTGATGCTGTGGCACTTCAGTCGCTTTTGCTGCAGACTTGTTTGACTGTGACATTTGTATAAAATGAAAAAATATCATCACTGGAAATATAAGCATCAACAGGTCTAACTTGGCTTCTGTTATATTTAGTAGCAACAGGGCTGTTCCCTGCTTCAGTGTACAAAGAGAACAAGTTTGTCATGTTAGCTCTGCCCTGGCTGGCCTATCTGAGCCAGCCTATTGCAGCAGCCTAAACATGTTTCAAGGAACCACACATGGTACAAATGCCAATTGATGTAAAGAATCTAATGCTGCAGACAACATACACAATTCCTATCTAACCCACATACACACACAGGGAGCTGGGCCCAGAATGCTGACATTTATAATTCGGCATTCCTCACTTGAGCTGAAGGGAATCTCCCATAGACATCATAAGCAGCAGGTGCCTTCTCTTCCCTGTAGGCCAACCACTAGAGGTTGACCTCACACGTTCATACACACACACAGCAGGTTTCAGCTGCTGCCCATTGATCCCCAGCACTGTTATAGGCACAGCTACCTAGACAGCAGGAATGTACCACTGCATCACCATGTCCCTGTGCCCAGGGGTTCCCAGACTCTTTCCGTCTTGACTCCCATATCCTTTCACTTTCTGGCCACATCACAAATCATCTTTGAAAATGTGCTACTGTAACTCCCTGGTGAGTGTGTTACAGGTCCCCCCGTGCCTGATCAGCAGAGTATGTGAGTCAGTTACAGTGCCACCTAAAGAGCCTTAGCTCTTCAGCTCAAGCTGTAACTGCTCTCACTTTTAGCTCTGGAGGCCTGTGGTTCAGTCCCTAGTGTGGGGGCCAACATGGCAGCTTTCACATCAGATGGGGCTTGTCCAGGATTCCAACTGCTGTGGGCTCAGACAATTGGGATGAGATTCCCTTGATCAGAGGAAGAATATACACAGGTGAGTATGTGCTACAGATCCGATAGTTATAAAATTAACAGATACTTACAAAATGTATGCAATTACCCCAATAGACCAACAATCCACCGCTTTGCTGTAGGGTTTCTGGGCCAGCACTTCAGGAGCTGGAAAAAAAAAAAAAAGTCATACAGCTAAATGTAATAAGACCAAAAACTGTGCGTGTTGCCAACATGTAGGACTCCACGGTCATTCATGGTACCTAGAATCCCTTGGCCAACATAAGAACATCTGTACTGGGTCAGACCAAAGGTCCATTTAGCCCAGTATTCTGTCTTCCGACAGTGGCCAATGCCAGGTGCTTCAGAGCGAATGAACAGAACAGGAGACGATCAAGTGATCCATCCCCTGTCATCCACTCCCTGCTTCTGGCAAACAGAAGCTAGAGACATTCAGAGCATGGGGTTGCATCCCTGACAATCTTTGCTAATAGCCATTGATGGACCTATCCTCCATGAACATATCTAGTTCTTTTTTTAACCCTGTTATAGTCTTGGCCTTCACAACATCCCCAGGCCCAATTCTGTGTAATGCTCACTATTTATTTTGGGAGCTGAGACTATCTCGACTTGTTCCCTACCTCCCAAACTCAGGTCTCATATTAGCAGGCCAAACCAGAAAGTTTTAAAGTGTATTTATTGAAAGAAAACTGTGAATCCGAATGCAGAGTTAGCTCATCATCTTCCGATGGAGATTAGAGGACTGAAAACAAAAACAAACACATAAAAAAAATATAAAAAAAGACAGTCAGGCCACAGGATCATCAGCTTCCCGTCAAAAGAACTTTTGGTAATGTGAAGAAAAACAAGACAGTGTTGCACAATTGCTCAAATGTACATTTATAAGTTGCCAGCTCTGCGGCATTGTGCTATCAAATGGAAGATTTCAGGAAGCAACTCAAATCGAGGGCCATGTGTCACCGAGCTGATATGCTAAATCTCCAGGAGAGGGATGAGAGCTAGACAGCTGTCACCATACCTCCTACAGCCTGACTAATGAAGCATCACAGTTGTCAGAGTCAGAGGGAGCCACTTGCCCTTCTGTCTCAAGGAGCAAAGAGACCACAATAACGGAGAGAAACTAAAAGAGCTAGGAATTAGAGCACACACAAAAGAACTGAGCCTTATTTGCATTTAAAACTGTTAGCTACTATATCTCGAGTTCCTGTGGAAGATGGAGGTTGAACATTTATTCAAATGCTTGTGGGTTGTTTTTTTTAAATCACTGAAACTTAAAAAGGCACATTTACTACATGAAAGTCTGGAGAATTATGTCTATGCTGGTAGCTTTCATTTGCAAATGCTTAACACTGAATTTTAAACCCCATGACCTTAATCTTTTTCATGTAAAGAAGCTTTTGAATTTTCAAAACAAAATGCCCATAGTAATGCAAAAATCATTGCTCATGATATTTATAAAGTTGACCTGCGGTGTTGGGTTTAAAAGCACAGGGTTTTCTCATGAGTACTGAGAAGTTTAAGGCCAGGTTCTGCCATAACTATTCATGTTGAGTAGTACTTTACTCTGCAGTTAATCCCACTGAAGACAATGAGGCTACTCCAAAAGAAAGGGGCCACTTAACGTGGGCAAGCAAATCACAGTCTGGCCACTTGCAGTACACAATGCAGTACATTTACAGAGTGCCCACATAAAGATTTCCTGCTGCAGAGAGCGAACAGTCTAAATAAAACAAGGCAAAGGAACCCAGGAGAAAATTTCTGGAGGAGGAGGGAGTGGAAGTTATTCATGACGAGGAGTTGCTTGGAGGAGAGTGTACAAGGAGGGATTTAAGAAGGTCAAGGAACTTGGCTTCAAGCCTTCTCTCATACTGCACCCTATATAAGATACCGCCTCCTTGCTCTCATCTGCCAAGAGTAGGCTTAGGAGATGTAAGGAGTGATGACTGGGAGGAGTCTAGGGGGAAATGGGAACAGAGAGATGGCTGGAAGTGAGGTTATGAAGAGCCTTGTAGGTTAGGATGAATTAAGTTTCACATAGCCCTGTGATGTACGGCAAATATTATGCCCACTTTAGAGATGGAGGAAGAACAGCCTACCAGACTTTGTTATTTACCAGACAAAATAACAAATGATAACACTTCTGTTCAAATATAGGATTAACGGTATGTTAGCACGTATGCTGGGCAACGCTTTGCATCTTCAAACACAAACACTACTGAACCCTCAGGCATGCCTGTGAGGTAGGCCAGTGTTCTCATCCCCATTTTACAGAGGGGGAAACTAGACCCAGAGAAGTTAAGGGACTTGCCCTGTGCCCTAGAGCGAGTCAGTTTCAGAGCTAGGATTAGAACTCAGAGGTTCCTGGTGCCCAATCCTGCGCACTGAGAACATATGCCTCAATGTTTTTCAGAGTGGAATATATGAATAATGGACTTGCTCCTTCTCCTATTGAAATCAGTGACAAAGCAGCCATTGACTTTAATGGGAGCAGGCTCTGGCACATTAACAGTCATTGCAGGCTCCGATCCTGCCATTGACTCTGCATGGGTGGATCCTGAACTTCAGTGGAACTCCATGTTCCACCTACATAGTTCCCTTTGCAGGACTGGGGCCATAGTCCTTTCCTCAGTTTGCACCACTCACACCTCTCAGAAGCCGGCCAAGTACCGTACTTCTCCTTTTAGGCTCCTCTCTGCACTGCGGGCCCAATCTGGCTAGAGCCTCCTGCAACATGATGCTAAGCACATCACACGATCATGCCGTAGGTGAGCATGACTGCAGTACTTCGTCTGCATCTTTTTCGGGATGGTGGTTTCTAAAACAGAAGGGCAGAGACTCTAAAAGAGTTTTCTGAACGCTAAAGTAGCATGGCTATAGGTTTTTGTTCCAAAGGGCAATAACCCAACAATTAAGGTAGGGGCATGTGAAGAAAACAAGGCAAGAACAATGGCCCGATCTGCTTTTGACACATATCAACAGGACTTCCGCACATGCATCTGAGGACAGGATTTGTGATAATAGCAGTGGTGGACACATATTTTATCTATGGCTCTTATATGGCCTTCATTACCCTACACACCTGCGGGCCACTTCCGGCCCGTCAGACGTTTTTATCCGGCCCTCGAGCTCCCGCCGGGGAGCGGGGTCGGGGACTTGCCCCGCTCTGCCCGCCTGGCGCTCCCCAGCCCCCAACTCACAATTCCAGCATCTTTCAGCACACACAAAGTCATACTGCCCAGGCACGAATTCACCGCACTGTTTCCAGGATCAGAACCTCACCCCTATCTGGCAGCCCCTCCCTACGCAGCAGCATGCCCAGTCCCTTCCCGGTCTCCTACGGCTCCACCCTCGTCCCAGCTAGGGTGCCTCTGCCCATGGTGGTGCCTGGTACAGCCACCTTGGTGCCTCTGCCGACATGGCCCCTAGGAGTCCCCGGTACAGCCCCTGTAGAGACACCCCGCCCGGCACCACACCCCAGGAGTTTCCCCTACCCCCACCTCGGTAACATCCCTTATAGAGTCACCCCTCCTCCGCTACACCCCATAGAGTCCCCCTCCCCTGCAAGGCATTCCTGGCCCACCATACAATTTCCATAGCCAGTTGCAGCCCTCAGGCCAAAAAGTTTGCTCACCCCTGTTCTACACTGTCTGTAATGTATTTATCCTCGCAATATCCCCATGAGTAGAGAACTGAAGAACAGAGACACAACGTGACTAGTCCAAGTCACACAGGAAGGCCATGGCAGGGCAAAGAATTAAACCCAAGTCTTCCAAGACCCAGACTAGTGCCCCAACCAGTGGGCCAACCTTCCTCCCCAGGCCAGGCCAGGCCAGGCCAGGTCAGACCAAACCTCATAATGATCAATATGCTGGGGGAGAAACACTTAGGGGAATGGAATTCTAAAGGAAACTGATGTGATAAGTGATCTGAAGAACCAAGTCAGAGAGAGCTGTGAGAACCAGTTGCTCATGTTGCTCCGATGGGCGAAAGCAAGAACTGTGATTAATATAGAGGCCGTTGGTGCTATGCAGTAATACAAGACAGATGGCTGTGGAGAAACGGAGACAGAAAATGGAGGTAGGGAGAGTGAAATTAACAAGTGGGGAAGAATTCACTCCTTTCTTTCTGTAGGTCTAATTCATTAAAACATATGTGATGAGTTACGCCGTGGCAAAAAGCCCCACTCACTTCTGCCAAGGACTCGGAGGAGCTGCTATTTTCTAAAGGTTTACAAACTGATGCGAATTAGGGGTTTTCAACTTAAATTTCCATGAAGCCCAGGGCTGTGTGCTGGCACCAGGAAGCAGCAGGCTGGACTGCAGCTTCCAACACCACACCCCACTCTGGATTCCCCAGGAGTCATTAAGGACACTAGGCTGCCCCAGCAGTGGTGGGAAGAGCTTAAAGTTCCAGCTCCTAGAGCATTCCTCACTCTTCCAGCAGCAGAATTCGGAGCAGGGGGCCATGTAATGTATATACTACACACCAGCCACAAGGAGATGCAATCGGAACCCCAAACATACCTTTAGGACTGTTTTTATTTACACCTGCTGTCTGACGAACTGTCTGTTCTCCTCTCATCCCTCTGTCTCCCATGTTCAATTTGCTACCAGATCACACATTCCCCTGCCAGTTTCTCGTCTTCTCTTCCACTTTCCTCGCCTACCCTTTCTGTCATCCTCCTCCGTTCTTCTTTCCCTTTAGCTCCTCCTCCACTACTCATACTTACCCCTTCTACACTTCTCCCTCCACCAAGCAAAAAAACCCCAAGCAAAAAGTCAGCCTTAATCATAATCCGATTCATCCTATAAAATAAAACATCTATTTAAAGAAAATGCCACCAAGATGTGGGCCTAGCCACCAAAGCGAACTCATGATCCTTGCCTGCCTCTTCCCCTCCCTGCTCTCTTGGTGCAGGGCTTCATTTCTCTTGTCTCCAGTAATATTTTAAGCTCTTTGGGGCAGAGACTTATTATCTATATTCATAGATTCACAACTCTTAAGACCAGAAGTGGCCATCTAATTTGACCTCTTCTCATAACACAGGTCAAACAACCTCACCCAATAATTTCTGCACTTCCGTTTCAGTGATAATATATCTTTTAGAAAGATATCCAGTCTTGATGTAAAGAATGCAAGTGATAGAG